GTAGTTAGCAAGCACTCATAGGTATTCTGAAACAAGTACAAGTCAATGTAGCATATCATTCAGTATTGTATTTGGTATTTCAAAATATGGTAGTCCAAAAATTTTTGTACTGTTAACTTTTAGAAAAGCAGTACCAAGTAAAAACTCTAAGACAAGAAAATTGTACTCAATACAAAATTGTTCAGCTGTTGACCTGGGGCAGTGGGCGGACACAGAACTCTGGGACTTTGGGATAGTTCCAGGATCCAGGAGCAGTTGTAAACTCCAGTGGTCCTGGAACTGTGTCACAGAACTGGGCATTTCTTGCCCAGGAACCCCTGGCACTGCAGCTTGTCTGTAGTTGCCATATGTTCCTTAAGAAAAATAACAGAGAATATGATGTATTCCTTGGTGCAGCAGGACAGTGATATCTTTTTGTTCTGCAGTACAATATATTCTTTTGTACTGCCAAATATTATATTTTAACATTCATCTAATGCTGGCTTTAATGTTACCTTGGGAAAGAGAGAGTTGTCCCTCTTACAAGTTTAAAGCTGCTAGAATTATTCTCTCTATGATGCTGCATGTTCTTATAAAGTTGTGCTAAATTATTACTCCAGCTAGGAGTTCACCATGATTTTGAGAACCTCTTTTTCCTTTTCGTAAAATTGTAAATCATGGTTATGCGTTGATTTTCTTCTTCATACTTCTCTTTAGTAGTGTCATTTTTCCACTGAAATAACCGTTCCTTTTCTGTGATGCTAGGTTCCGGTTGGCCTTTTAGAGGAAGCTAAGGCAGCAGCTAGAGCCGCATTAGAAGAAATGGATGCTGATTAAGTCTTGAAAGGGGCTTTGAAATTCCTTTCTAGGGCTTGAAGTATGAGTTATGGTCATATGATTCTGTGTTGTGGACTTAAATTATGATGGAATTCCAACAAATTTGAGGGCATTTAGACAGGGCCCTGAATGTAATTTCACTTACAAATTGAAAGTAAAATTTTCTGAAAGTTTCATCAAACAAGTTTGTTTGTTTCTTATTTTGGTACAATGTATTTATTTAAAACCACTAGTTTGATGGATTCGTTGTCCTCTTATTAAAGTTTGATCGCAATGGTCTAGGATTACTCGAGTAGCAAGAGAAATATCATTTAAGTTCGACCTCTTGGGAAAGTCTACTCTATCTTTGTATAGTTGCTTCTTAACTAGTCTTTGAATCTATAAAAGAGATCATGATTCCTGAATTTTTTGTTTTTGCCAAATTCACTCAAAACAGAAATCATAAAATGCAACCCTAATTTTGCTTCTCTTCGTTTTTTCTGATAAAAAGAAAAATAACGAAAAGAACCCTAAATGTACCAACCCGAAAATTCGTTCCCTCTTGCTCTCCTCTTAATATAATTTCTCTCTGCTTATTGTCGTTGATCTCCTCTGTTTCCCCTTCCCCTCCATCTAAGTTGTAATTTTTTACATTCTCAAAGCCAAGATTGTATTTTGAATAGCCTTAACTCTTTTAATTCTCATCCAAACGCAAACACTTCTTGCTTTCGTCGTTGTTCTCATTCTAAACGCATCGTCAAACCAATTGCCTCTTTTTAATTATCCGACTACCTTTTCTCAAGTGCCTCACTCAACTTCATCTTTATCATTTCCTCGTTTCTTGACCCAAACATCATTTTGTTCTTTGTTCTTATTTTTCTTCTCTAACTCTGAATTTTAGAATATTTTAGTTTCATTTTCAAAATTTTGATCATTTTAATTTCAATCTGCTTCAATCTAATTAGTATATATTGTTAATATGACACCCACGTAAATATCATAAAGATAAAAATTTAATTTTATTTAATTGATATAAATATATGATCAGATTATCACAAATACTTTTTATTAAATAAAAAATAATTTATATTTTAAATTTATTTAAATAAAAATAAAATA